TATCTAGAGCTTTTATTTCACTAGCATATCCCCAAGGGGAGCTCCTATCAGAATTGCTTTACTAAAGTAATTTTTGTTGGTGGCTGCTCCTTCTGTTTACTGAAATAGCCCATTTGCTACTGTTCTGGCAGTGAGGAGCAATTGGAGAAGAGCATATGCTTCTCCATTAAAGAAATACAGAAAAATTTAGTGGAACAAGAGTCGTCTATCCACTGAAAGTTTTTCCTGGCTTCAACCAGGAGTGAAATTCAGCAGATTCTCACAGGTTTTGGAGAACCGTAGCGGAAATTTTGAGTAGTTCGGAGAACCGGCAACTATCACTCTGGCTGGCACCAGAGTGGGGTGGAAATGGAGATTTTGCAATATCTTCCCCCAGGAGTGGGGTGGAAATGCAGATTTTGTATTATCCTTCCCCTGCCATGCCCACCAAGCCACGCCCACAGAACTGATAGTAAAAATAATTGAATTTCACCACTGCCTTCAACCCAGAGTCAGATAAAATAGTATTGCCAAGTGCGTGATTTTTCAAACTGTTTTCTGCATAACCCTGAGATCTAATGAGATCTTGATTGGATCCCATGAGACAGTAGAGACAGAAAAAAATAAGTTAACTTGGACACAGTCAAAATTTTGTCACTAGGTATTTGGCTCCTAGTCAGGCATTTGGGGAAATATTTTTTTTTAAGTACCGTATTTTTCGGAGTAAAAGACGCTCCGAAGTATAAGACACACCTAGATTTATGGGAGGAAAACAAGGGGAAAATATCTGCCTCTGCCTCCCAGCAATTTGCCTCCTTGCAACAAACAGTACAGACAATATACACTGTTTGTAGTGTTATATTTCAGACTATACTTGTACACACCTTGTTAAAATGTGTTTTCTGAAAGTATAGTTATTCTCTGCTATTTAAAAGAATAGCAGTTTTTAAAACAATAGCACTGGGCCTCTTCAGATCAAGAATTTATTTTAAAAAGCCTCTTCATTTTTTAAGTTGTCTAGAACAATAATAAAGCAATCTTTAAAAAATAAGTCTAACAATTTGAACATTCTATAGACATTTATAGTTGTCGACTTACCTCCTTGCTGCAAACACCTGATTAGCGCAAGAAAATAAAATCTGCCTCCCAGCAGTTTGCCATGTGGAGCAAACAGCTAGTTTCACTTTCAATTTCTCCCTATCGGAGGCTGCAGGGATTGCTATAGCTTATTGAAGCCTGCGCAAACCCCGTTTGCTGCAAAGAGGTAAATTACTGGGAGGTAGAGGCCAAAGGGTGGGGGCCGGTGGGTGGGTGGCGCTACATTCGGTGTATAAGGCGCACCCAAATTTTCACCCTCTTTTAGGGGAAAAGGGTGCATCTTATACTCCAAAAAATGCGGGTAACAGGTTTATAATCTTAAAGTTTGAAAGCCTGTATTTAGCCCTAAAACTTTCACTGATTTATTTAATCTAACATTACCCACTTTTTAAATTTCAATAACTAGAATTTAGTATATAAATGTACATTTTTTTATTACATTGACAAGTTATCCATAAATTTAAATAAGTTAAATAATAAGATTTTTTAAATTTGGCTCCTAGAAGTATAAAATACAGTTGAATGTCTTTGTTATAACATTAAAAATCCCAGCCTAGGCCACTGTACTATGTTTTTGTTCTTTTAGTTATTTCTTCTGGATACATAGTAATTATCTCAGTTTAATTTCTTTTAAATGTTTAAAATTCAATTCAGTGAAATAATTCAGGTCTCATTAACTAAATTAATTCAGAATATTGTTATAATTGTGCAATCAATGGCAATAAATAACAACACAACTACAATTTGAATCCAGACTAACCTAATTAGATCCCACTGAAATCATAATCATTACTAATTCAATTCTACTAAACGTAAGCATGACCCACATAAGCAGATAGGCCATCTGAGATCAACTTACAATCTAGCATAAGCAATTACGAATCTAAAATGAAAAAGAAAAGAAAGAAAATAATGTCTCAAAGGTACTTCCTTTCAAGAGGCAGTTGGACTTTCTGGTTTTTCTTTGAAAACCTTTCGCTTCTGAAGAAGCTTCTCAATTGAGAAGCAAAACGTCTTCAAAGAAAAACCAGAAAGTCCAGTTGCCTCTTGAAAAAAAAAGCACCTTTGCGACAACCATGACCTGGATGACTGAGAATCTCCATAGAGATTTATCAAAAGAAAAAAAAAATGAATGCAACAATTAAAACTGAAACATTTTTACACATTGGCAAGTTAAGGCTTGCCATTCTTTTTGTTTATTTTTTAGGGAAAATAAATATCATTCAGCCATAAATAAAGAGTCTTGAGAGAAAAAGCAAATGTCAAACATAAGGCTTGTTGATTCACAGAAAGAATTGCATCATAGATAACTGAAGAGATGTATGTGCAGAAATCAAAAACAGAGCTGGGGAAATGGCTATATTCAGCATCAGATGACATTGAAATGAATGGGAAGGATGAGGATAATAAAGGAAAGGTGGACACAAATTATCACTGTGTTTAGAAATAAATAGTATGATATCAGATTGCAAAATAGAAGCAAAAAGCCTTAAAAGCAAAATGAAAAATGCCTAACAGCGTTACAATAATCCAAAGAAGAATGCAAATAACAATATGACTACACTTTTGGTGTTCATTTTAATAAACTGCTATTTGAAAATACAAAAGGTCTCCCATGTTTCCAGTACCTTGAATGCATTCTTATTGAGTACTTCTTGAGGTTCTTATTCAATCATTACAGATCTTCTGTTTATACTGCTTTATATGTCCCTCCTTACCTGCTGAATATTACTTCATGAATGAAGTGCCAATTCTTCATTCAGTTCTAAGGCAGAGAATAAACTTTACTCCTGCAGCCTTTTTAGAAGCGAACAGGAAGTGTTGCTATTGATACAGAAAATGAAAGTTCTTTAAAGAGAACAGATATTTCTGTAGTATTCAGAGAAAAATCCTGGAATTCTACTTTCAAAGAGAACATCAGATAACTTATCTCTGATAATGCAAGTCAATTTAGACATGGTTGATAAAATGAAAGCAATAATCAGTCGAAAGTACAAATCTCAAATGTTTTACTTTTAAAAGAATTGATCATCACTATTTGATGAAAGTCTGAAATTAAGAGTCAATGGTGACTTAATTTGTAGGACTACAACCAGGTTCTCTGACCTAAGACTCACAGATAAAGACAGATTTGAACCCCGTATTATAGTTCTGATTTTTTTAGGAAATAGGGACCATGCCACCAGGTATTCCAGCAGTGGAAAGATCATTGCATGGAGGAAAACAAATTTCTATTCTTCATTAATTTCCACACAATCCCTGTGGCATATACAGGTAGTCCCCAACTTATAACCACAATTGATCCTAAACTTTATGTTTATTAAGAGAGAAATTTATTAAATGAGTTTTGCCCCATTTTACAACTTTTCTTGCCACCTTTTTTATGACACCCACTGCAGTTGTTAAGTTAGCAATTTGGTTGTTAAGTGAATTTGGCTTCCCACTGGACTTTGCTTGTCAGAAGGTCACAAAAGGGGATCATATGATTCCGGGATACTGCAACGGTCATATATATGAACCAGTTGCCAAGCATCCGAGTGTAAATCACATGACCAGGGGAATGCTGCAACGATTGTATGTGTTAAAAATGATCAGAAGTCCCTTTTTTTGAGTGCAGTTGTAACTTTGAATGGTCACTAAACAAACTGTTGAAATTTGAGGACTACCTGTATGTGCCTAACTCTAGGATCTGAATACAATCCATACCTTCCTTTTTTCAAAAGGTTTGTATAATCAGAGCCTGTACTTTTTCCCACACTAAGCACAAGTGGGAAGGAGAACAGCAATACACACATTGTTGAGGAATAAGTGAGCACCATGAAAATAAAACTGTCTTTCAATACAAGAGTCTATGCACAGTCTCAGGTGGAAATTAAGTAGCACTGCTTATTCCCTTTGTCTGTATTTTGGCCAATTGATTTCCTTAAGGACCTGGAAGGCTGGGTTTAATTAAACTTTAATACAGAATGCTCTGATGTTGCTAAATGTGCCATATCTTTGCAATGTTGTCATAACTCAAGGGCCGAGAATACCAAATGATAGCACTTTCCATCTTAACCTTTTGTAAATAATCTGCAATTTTTATGCTTTTAGTCTTGGATCTCTTAACTAGCCCTATCATCTTAAACAGTTAATCACTTTTTAGCTTTGGATATTCATGTCTCCATTTGTCAGGTGAAACTAGCAATCCTATTCATGATTTCTTGATGTTCGGAAGGTTAGGAAGATGCCCTAAATTGCCCCCTAGTAATAAAATGCACATAAACACACCCTTTAAGGTTAACAATGCTGCAGTCATTATGATGAATTACTAGATATAAAGGTGGATGTATCTTCTGAATTAGAAATAAATGCTTGTCATGGCAAGCAGAAAGTCATTCTGTTAGGTTTTGCTGAATATTTTTTCTAGAGTTATAAATTATACTACAATAAAAGAGGAAAATATTATTGGTTTGATGCTGATTCAGTGCAAAAAGAGGCTATTATATACAATATGTACTTAACTGGATGATAATATCTAATTGTATATTGACATATTACTGTACTCGTGCAAGAATTTTTTTTTAAAAAAAAATCTGGGCAGCTTCCTAAAGAACCATTGTTAATGCATGGCTCCCTCAATCTAACTCTTAAAATTATGTATTCTAAAGCCATATCATTTGCATTCATAGACATTGATGTGATAAAGTGTATCTTAAATTAGTGTGACAGATTATTGTTGTAGTTGGTAGTTTTGGAGATTCCAGATAATTTTTTAATAAAGATGCATCGGATTTCTGAGCCTCACATCCAGAAAATTTGGAAACACTTATTATGAATGCTATATATATATATACAGTAAATAGTATTTGGGCAACACACTGATCCAGCTACCATTTTCCAGAGTTGTATTGGCTTACTTCTGTTTTGGATTCTCTCTTCAGGCCCACAAGAGGTGGCTCCGGTTCCTCCCATTCTGAAAACCAGGGGCATCGGTCACGACCGCAGCACTGCTTCTTCCTCAGGGTGCTGAGAGCAGCTCTTCCTCTCCAGCTTCTCTTGCTGCTTCTGATGGCCCTCGCCTGCTTGGTTCCAGCGAGCGAAGAGGACTATAGCTGCACCCTCTCAAATAATTTTGCACGCTCCTTCCATCCCATGCTTAGATACACAAACGGCCCACCACCTTTATGAAAAGATTGCCAGCAGCTGAATAATATTTCAAATGCAGTACCCAGAATTCAGTAGGATTTCCATGACCTCCCTGCTGATATAAGTAAATGTCTGTCAGTATCAAAATGAGCCATGGAATTCATGAATTGGGCCATTAAAGACTTACATCTCTTCTATGGACTTTGACTAAGTAATAGAAAGTTTTTCTCTCCAAACAGCATCCTGGATTTTTCAGCTAATTTTATAATTTTACCATACAATACCTAGCGGAGGACTTCCGTTTGAAAAAGGACCAGTATGTACTGCTCATTATAGAGCTATTATACAATCTTTATTTAACTATTCTACTGGTATTTTAAACTAAACTAACATATAAACCTATATACTTGTAAGAAACAAACTGGAGTGATTTTAGAAACCATTATAACATACAATTTTAAAAGCTTGCAAGGCAGTATATTATTTTCCCCCATTTTTGGTGGGGTTTTGAGTGAGGCACGATATTCTAATCTTTGCTTTGAATGCACAAATTGTAAATGGCACATTTTATAATTTAAAAAAAAATGTAATAAATGAAATCATGAAAACTTTATGAACAACGATGGATATTAAGTATTAAAAATATTTATGTATGTACAGTTTGCTAAGACTAGTCTGCTTATTTCTTGATAAAGAAACCAGGAAATCCTCCAAATATATTTTGGAGCAGTGTGTTATGTATCTGTGCATTTTATTGATTATCTGCCATCGAGTTGGCCGCCACATAGATTTTCTCTATGATCATCTGTCCCTAGCTATCAGCTCTGCAAAGTAGTCCAGACAAGAAACACATGCAGAAGTACCATTTCTAACTTTATTGTAAGGTTATATTAACGAAACCTTGCAAAACAAAGTACACCTCTTATCCATACTGTCCAAGAAAATAGTCCAAATGTCGCTTCTGAGACATTTGCTGTACTGCACTGCTTCTGTACTGCACTGCTTCTGTGGACTCAGCTGGCACTTGTCTGACCATTGACCACACTTCTACCTGACTCCCAAGTTCATTTCCACATATGCAGGGGGTGGGCTGCTATGGGTTTGCCTGAGTTCAGGAGACCCCGTAGCTAACATTATGGCCACCTCCAAATCCCACCCTTGGTTGGCCCCGCCACCCTGCACTGCACCTCCCACCCCTCTCCTCCCAGGAGTCTCCATGCGGCCCATTTTGGATGCGAAGTAAGTGCAGGGCATGTGCAAAGGCTCAGGAGGGGGGGCCTCCCGGAAGGCCTCCGGAGCCTGGGAGATGTACTTTTCGCCCTCCCAGAGGCTTGAGGAAAGCCTATGGGGCCTGGAGAAGGCAATACTCCCCCCACCACCATGGTGCAGGAGGCCAACACTCACCCAGCAACCAGGCAGAGAACCCATTGCTGAAATTTTTGAAGCCCACTCGTGCACATATCACTTCATTAACCAGATCTTTCAGGGCTTCTACTAGCATATCCCTCATCAATGTAACTGATCTCACCCACTTTGCTTCTCTTTGTCCTCCTATTTTTCCTTTCACCTTTCCCAGCATTAGAATCTTCTCTAGAGAGGAAGGTCTTCGTATAATGTGTTTGGGAAAAAAATCAGTCTTGTCTTCAGGTATAGTGCTGAATGGCAATGCTTTGAAGAGTTGTTTATAGATATGATGGGGAAAAGAGGTGGGTATTGTTTTGTTGTTAAAATACAAATGTTATTTCTGATATGTGTTAAACTTTTGAAGAAGTTTTTGAGAAGAGACAAAGAGGAAATTACAATAAATTAACATGGGATGCTGTTAAAAGGCATTAAAGATTAAGATTTTTAATATGTTGCTGTTTCTGGTAGCTCTTAATGGGTTTTTCTTGACTAAGTTTGAATCATAAGGCTTTAAAGATTTCTTTGTTGATAAGATACGGGAAGAAGAAACTTTTGTTTTATGTTTAGACAAGTTATTGTGTTTTTAAAAAAGGAAAGAATTATGAAGCTGATTTATTTTATTAAGGTTAAAATTTATGTGCTTTTACTTCTGGTAACTCTTAATAGACTTTTCCTTATCAAGATTGAATAATGAAGTTTTATCATTTGTCTATAAATAAGAGATGAAATATGGGAAGAAGAGATCTTTGGTTGAAATGTTAGAGACGGTGAGAAATTGTACTTGTCAACATGAAGGGGGAAGTCATTTCTTTGCATACACTTGCCTCCTTTTTCTTATATTTTTTAAAAAAATTCTGTTCCCATTTTTCTGCACTTACTTTTGAATTTCCTTTTTCCTTTTTATATTTTTCGTAGTTTTTCTTGTTAATTTTTTATCTTTGATTTTAAAACTTATTTTTTAAGCTTTACTGTANCCCAGAATTCCCCAGCCAGCATTCGCTGGCTGGGGAATTCTGGGAGTTGAAGTCCGGACATCTTCAAGTTCCCAAGGTTGAGAAACACTGAAATAGAATGACATGTATAAGAATGAGAAATGTAAAGAAGAATAACAATTACGTGAACGTACACTTAAAATGGTATGTAAGAGAATTTTTTTAAAAATGGAAAAAATATAAATATAAAAATATAAACGTGGTAGATTAAAATAAAAAGAAAGACGGTTTTGCAAATCTAGAAAAAATCTACAGCCTCGACGCTTGGCTTCGATTCTTCCCCCTTTCAGCTTCTCTACCTTCCCATTTTTTTTCGCTCCGTAATGTATTTTCTGCCGTTTGCTCACCCTGGAAAGAGGGAGAGGGGGGGAACATGGGTGTGTTTGCACGCAGAACATCTGTGAATTATTTAATCCGTTTGGGAGTTTGCCAGAATAGATTGGGAAAAGAATGTTTTACCCTGCGGGAGTTCCAGGGTGACTCCTCAACTTTAAAGCCCAGATTTTCTTAGCAATAATTCTCGCTTTTGTGTGTCGAAAGGATTCGGCATCGCAGCGAAGGGAGTATTTGGGGTTCAAAGAACAACCCTCAATGGGTCAAATCCTCCACTTAAGACCACGGTGGAGGCTGGGACTTCTGTCACTAAACGAGTTGGTTGTTAAAGTGGGTCACAGCCAATTTTGCAAGCTCTCGCTGCAGTCCGTCGGTGAATCGCGTGAGCACAAGTAGTCCTCAGCTTACGACCACGATGGAGCCACGTGCTAAGCAAGACCGTTGTTAAGTGAGTTTTCTCCCCCCTTTTTACGACATTTTTTTGCCACAGTTGTTAAGCGGATCATCACACAGTTTTTAAGGGAATTTATGGCTTCCCCCGTTGACTTCGCTGGTCGCAAAAGGGGATCGCGTGTCCCCCGGGACACTGCGACCGTCATAAATATGAGTCAGTGTCCAAGTGTCTGAATGTAAATCAGGTGACCCAGGCGGATTCTGCAAAGGTCGTAAGTGTGAAAAATGGTCATAAGTCACCTTTTTCAGTGCCGGTGTAACTTCGCCCACTAAACGAATGGCTGTAAGTTGAAACTACCTGTCTGTACATCTGTGTCATAAGTTGAGGACTATCTGTATTAATTTGCCATGGATGGATATTGAGAAACATCTCATTTTTCTGAGCAATTAACCATTTTTAAGGAAAGTTAGACTAAGGAAATATGGGTGTTCAAACGACTTCCTTGAACTCAGAACTCAAGATAATTTGAGCCTTTGATACCCCAGTTATAAGGCCAGGGGACTCCAAATGTGGCCACTTTAAGACATGAGGACTTCAACTCCCAGAATTCCCCAGCCAGCCAAACTTGGTAACTTTTAAGAGATGAGGATTTCAATTCCCAGAATTCCTCAGCCAGCCAAACTGGGTAACTTTAAGACATGAGGACTTCAACTCCCAGAATTCCCCAGCCAGCCAAACTTGGTAACTTTTAAGAGATGAGGATTTCAATTCCCCTTCCTCCCCTNCTTACCCGGTTTTTATGAATTTCGCGCTTTCCACGCATGCGCAGAACGCCTGCGCGATCCTCCAGGAGATGCTAATACGCATGCGCGCGCCACATGCGCGAGGATGGCGCGTGCGTGCGGGAGGACGCCGCCGGCCTCGTTCCAACCGATCCGGTTGGAACGGGGTGAGAAACCCACCCCTGGTCCAGGTTATCTGAAGGATTGTTTCTCCACAGTTGTATCTATCTGTTCCACCATTTCCAGTGGAAGAGTCATTTTGTAGGTCCGACTAGTCAAGGAGCTTTGTTTGGTGAGAGCCAGAAAAGAGCCTTTTCAGTCATGGTACCTGCACCTTGGAACTTTGGAATGAAGTGAGATTGACCCCAACTCTTTTGGCCTTCCAGAAGGCCCTTAGAACTTGATTTTGTCACTCAACCAGAGGAACCCATGGAAGTACAGAGCCCATTAAATGGTTGTGTTGTTTGTGAGCTCAGAATGCATTCACCGAGGTTTTTTTTTTGTTTCTTTGGTTTTAACTCTTTTATTATATTTAAATGGCTTTGGGTTTTTTTAAAAATTATTTTCATTATTTATTTAATTGTCTGTGCCAACCAGAATCACAAACATTAGTTGTATTGTTATATCTAGTTAGTAATGAAATAATATAAATAAATACACCAGATTACAGGGATCTTCACAAAGAAGAAACACATATAATATGTTTTAAAAGTGGGGAGTGTGAGCTTTGATTACATACTTGTGGTTTCCATCTTGAATTTTTTTTGAAACCCCCTCCCCACACCGTGTGGACACTCCTGTTAACCTTCCATTTTTATTCTCACCAGGTGGAAACATTTTCTTTATAAACAAACAGAAATGAAATGTAGTCTTTTCTTTTCAAGTCAATGGACCTTTGTGTATTTAGAAAAGTCTACCTTTTCAAAGCTCTTCAAAAGTAAGTATACTACTCATATAATATATTCACATGTCCTAGTGCAAGAGATACTCTATACATAAGCACTATATTATAATTGGCAACC